CGGGTCCGGGCTGGGGATTCGAACCCGCCACCTTAGGTGTATGTGGCTGGCGCCTTAGCCGGTTGAGCTATAGGCGCCGAGCCCAAGTTCCCTTTTCTTTCTAACCAAAAGGTAAATGCAAAATTTCAGAATTAATTGTCATCAGAACTCCTAGGCATTATTAACCACAAATAGATTAAAAGGATTATAAATTTGCAAAGAGAAAGCATTTAGCACCTATACTTATACAATTATCTGTTCATTCTTTAAATAAAGCAAAATAGGATACTTTGTGCTTCACAGAGCAAGTGAATATTTTTTCTTTTAAATAATTCTGCCTTACTATAAATATTACATATTTATGTGTCAAATATCTTATTGGACTAGATTCTAAAAATAATAAATAAATAATGGAATCAATCTTAATGCAACCAGACATCAAGTCATTTGGTTATAAGGAATATACTTATTTGGCTCTGAATATGATTGCAAGATTGCCCTGGGAATTGATCTCCTTAAATCCCAACTACTTTTCTCTTAACACACCACACAGTTCTAATCACATCCCTTTCTTGACCCTCATAATTCATGCTTAAGAAACTTGTGTAACTTCAAATATTCTTTTACCTGTATCATGATTTAATATTATCATTTATTATTATCAAATGTCAATAAATCTTCATATCCATTTTTATTTATAAGATAGATTTAGCTAGAGAAAGGTATTTATTATGACTATTAAGGATATTTCTAAAGCAGCCTCCCCCACCATCTAATACAGTAGTTCTCAACCTTCCTAATACAGCGACCCTTTAATACAGTTCCTATGGGTCGTTACCCACAGGTTGAGAACCGCTAATCTAGTAGCATAGTTACATTGAATCCTTATATATGAACAGCTTCCATTTTCCAAACACAAAATAACTTCTCTGAAGAAGACAGGCGCATGGCCTACAGATATATGAAAAAATTCTCATCATCCTTAATCATCAGAGAAATGCAAATCAAAACTACTTTGTGATATCATCTTAACACCAGTAAGATTAGCCCATATCCCAAAATCACAGATGCTGGCGTAGTTGTGGAGAAAGGGAACACTTCTACACTGCTGGTGGGAATGCAAACTAATATGTTCCTTTTAGACATCTGGAGGACACTTAGAGAACTAAAAATAGACCTGCCATTTGATCCTATAATTCCTCTACTAGGTATATATCCAGAAGACCAAAAATCACACTACAACAAAGATATTTGTACCAGAATGTTTATTGCAGCCCAATTCTTAACTGCTAGGTCATGGAAGAAGTCCAAGTGCCCATCCACCCATGAATGGATCAACAAATTGTGGTATATGTACACCATGGAACACTATGCAGCCCTAAAGAAAGACGGAGACTTTACCTCCTTCATGTTTACATGGATGGAGCTGGAAAATATTTTTCTTAGCAAAGTATCTCAATAGTGGAAGAAAAAGTATCCAATGTACTTAGCCCTACTATGAAACTAATTTATAGCTTTCATAGGAAAGCTATAACCCAATCATAGCCCAAACATATGGGGAAAGAATATGAGGGAGGGGAGGGGAAGGGGAGGAGGGGTGGAGGGAGGGTGATTGGTGGGATCACGCCTATGGTTCATCTTATAAGGGTACATGTGAATCTTTCTAAATGTAGAATATAAATGTCTTAACACAATAACTAAGAAAATGACATGAAGGCTATGTTAACTAGTTTGATGAAAATATTCCAAATTGTATACAAAAACACCACACTGTACCCCATGACAGTATTAATGTACACAGCTATGATTTAATTTAAAAAAAGAAGAAGAAGAAAGAAAGCTAATAGGTGTTACCTACTCACATAGGTTGGATGGAATATAAATTCATGAAATTCCAATCAAAGAAAAGCCCTTGCCTGTTTCCATGTTAAACTATTCTAGGTCTGCCAACGGAAGCCACCTCTTCCAAATGACTATCAGATTCTACCAATTTCTTTTTTTTTGAGACAGAGCCTCAAGCTGTCCCCCTGGGTAGAGTGCCATGGCACTACAGCTCACAGCAACCTCCAACTCCTGGGCTCAAGCGAGTCTCCTGCCTCCGCCTCCCAAGCAGCTGGGACCACAGGCGCCCGCCACAACGCCCGGCTACCTTTTGGTTGCAGCCGTCATTGCTGTTTGGCGGGTCCGGGCTGGGGATTCGAACCCGCCACCTTAGGTGTATGTGGCTGGCGCCCTAGCCGGTTGAGCCACAGGCGCCGAGCCAGATTCTACCAATTTCTATCACCAATTTGTACCAACTCTCTCAGAGATAAAATCTAGTAATCTCCTCTAAACATCATTGAGGTCTTTGGTAGATACTTTATTACTATATCTAACATAAAGTGAGAATGGCAGCTTACAAAGCAAGCTTATATAAAACAGTAAGCTGGTTTCATATAATCTGCCTATTTCTCCAAAAAAAGAGATGTGGAGGTTCCAATGTCTTCACGTACACCTTTATCATCAAAAAATAACAAAAGGTTAATTAGCACAAGCACTGCCGGTTATAGGAGAAATGTTAATAACCACATTTATAATTACAGATTGAAAATACAGTGCCACTAGGGAGATGATTTTGATTATTTTAAAGCAAACATTATTTCTTTAGCCTAGCCTTTAAATCTATAATGTGCTTCATGGATGCTACTTTTTTTAGAAATTGAAGTTGCAGAAACTTTGTATCAATCAAGTACACTGGTGTCATTTTACCAATAGCATGTATTCGCTTCTGGTCTATGTATCACATTTTGGTAACTCTCACACAGTATTTCAAATTTTTATTATCATATCTGTTATGGTGATTTGTGATCAATGATATTTTATATTACTATTGCAAGTGTTTTGGGTGTCACAAACTCTGTCCATATAAGATAGCAAACTTAACTGATAATTGTTCTGTGTATTCTGACTTCTCTATCAACTAGCCATTCCCTCATCTCTCTTCCTCTCCTTGGGTTCCCTATTCCCTAACACCCAACAGTATTAATATTAGGCCAATCAATAACTCAGTAATGACCTCTAAGTGTTGAGTGATAGAGTTGTACGTTCTTCAATTAAATCAAAAGTTAGAAATGATTATGGTTAGCAAGGAAGGCACGATCAAAGTTGACACAGGCTGAAAACCAGGCCTCTTATGCCAAATAGTTAGTCAACTTGTGAGTGCAAGTTCTTTAAGGAAATTAAAAGTGCTATTCCAGTGAACACACAAATGGTAAGAAAGCAAATCATCCCAATTGTTGATTGGGATTATCTTAGCGGTCTTGATAGGTGATCAAACCAGCCACAACATTCCATTAACAAAAAGCCTACTCCAGAGCAAAGTCCTAACTCTCTTTAGTTCTATGAAGTCTGAGAGAGGTGAGGAAGCTGCAGAAAAGTTTGAAGCTAGCTTCATAAGGTTTATGGATGGAAATCATCTTCATAACATAGAAGTAAAGGATGAAGCAGCAAGAGCTGATAGAGAAGCTACAACTAGTTACCCAGAAGACCTAGCTAAGATCACTGATGAAAGTGGCCGCACTCTACAATAGATTTCTAATGTAGATGAAACATTCTTTGATTGGAAGAAGGTGCCATCTAGGACTTTCATAGCTAGAGAGAAGTCAATGCCTGGCTTCAAAGCTTGAAAGGACAGGCTGCTTCTCCTTTTAGGGGTTAATGTAGATGGTAACTTTAAACTGAAGCCAAAGCTTATTACCATTCCCTGAATCTAGGGCCTTTAAGAATGATGCTAAACCTACTCTGCCTATGTTCTAACAATGGAATGACAGAACCTAGATGACACCTTATTTGTTTACAGTACAGTTTGCTGTAAGCTCACTGTTGAAACCTACTGCTCAGAAAAAAAAAAAAATCCTTTAAAAATCAGCAAAACCTCCATAACTGACCTCCTCCCTACATTGACCATCTACTTAAGTTGACCTAACTTTCAAAGACTGGTCATGCACCACATGTATGTGTCAGTACAGTAGGCCTAGTTCCTTATGTTGACCACCTCCATATGTTGACCAGTTTGCTACAATCCCTTGGGTTTGTATACTACTGTATTACTGCTCACTAAAAACGTGCCTTGGAACCCAAGAGATATACAAGGAGATTAATACTGTTTTCATGTCTGCTAACAAAACATCCATTCTCCAGTCCATGGGTCAAAGAATAATTTTGGCTTTCCTGCCTTCTTACTTAAGAAACAAATTTTGTAAGGCTATCACTGCCATAGACAGTGATCCCTATGATGAATCTGGGCAAAGTAAATTGAAGATCTTCTGTAAAGAATTCACCATTCTAGATGCCATTAAGAACATTTGTGATTTATAGCAAGATCAAAAGAGTTAATAAGAAACTTGTAAGAGAGAAGTTCTACGGTGGGTAAAATGCTATCAAACAGCATAGCATGCTACAGAGAAATCTTCTATGAAAGGAGAATCCATATCCATTGATGTAGCAAACTTCATTGTTATTTTAAGAAATTGCCATAGACATTCTAGCTTTTTATTTTTTTGGAGACATCGTCTCACTCTGCCACTCTGGGCAAAGTGCTGTTGCATCATAGCTCACAGCAATCTCAAACTCTTGGGCTCAAGCAATCCTTGTGCTTCAGCCTCCCAAGTAGGTAGGGCTACAGGGGTGTACCTC